TCAGATCCCTGCTTCAACGGACCAGTTGGAGGTGTCTCGTGTTATCTGTTTGAAGGACCGTACGCGTCCACCGTGTGATCAACCCTGGAACGCATATCGTCGAGCCCTTGAAGGCCAGTTCCCTCCGGTCGTTGCACTTCGACTACCCAAACATAATTTGATTCCATTCTGGGAAGCGGAATCAAAATCGGAATTATTGTGGCGTCGTTTGCGTGAAATTTTATTTTGGAAACGTTTCATTTTGGATAAAACAAGACAAGAACGCAACGATTATGTCAATCGGACATCGGTACATCCGAATGGTTTTGAACGAATGCTCACAGAACAACAAATTCGGTATTACGAAAAGAATCTACGTCTTCAGATTGTTCGAACGAGTGAAGAGTATCGACTGCAGTTCATGAAAACATTCATTCCCGCCTTATCACGTATTTTGTCCCCGGTTGCCTCATGGCACCTACCTCAACTAACCTCGTCTTATACACCGCAGTCAACAATGATACCTCGCCATCACGTGACTTTCGCGTTTGATAATAGTTTATCATTTGCCGAGACCGATAGCGTATGGAAAGATCAGTCAGCGTAAATGGGACGGAACGGGTGTCAATTATTGATAATGCTCAGCACTCTTCCTGTTCCGTGCTCCTCGATCAAATTATGCAACTGTTATTTTTTTGTTTTCTGTCACCTCGGGGCAGTAAATTCTGTAATCAGGAATCGATCTTTGTGCGGTTTTTCTGGTCTGTTTGTAGTATACGTTTTATTTTTAAAACTGATTTATGTTCGGAGTTTATCTGTGATATTTTGTAGAACAACAGAAAAATGCATTATATCACTTCGTTTCCGATTTGTAGAATGCTGTTTACTTCTGAATAATATATTTCCTAATGGCAAATACTTTTCACCAATACAAATGCAACCTAGCTCAGCAAAAGGGAAGTAACAATGAGGTTTCTAGGACGCAGTTAACCAACATACTTTTCTCATTAACTTTTAAAGAGGGAAGTTCTGTTTGATCCTGGTCTCCTGGATTAAATAAGGGAAAGTGAACAGAATCCAAATGGATGGTTTGAGCCGATCATCTTAACGATTGTATTGTACTGTAATCATAATTTCTGTGGGCGTAAAGCGTACATTTCAGTCAAAAAAGTACACATTGTACAGAGGGGAAGGAAAAGCGTTAGATCCTGAAACGTTTGACAAAGTCTGTGAAATCCAGTTCTTTGTGAGCTGAAGCACGTGCCGAATAGGGTACCTTAGAGTTATAATATATGTTTACGCTAGAGAAAACACTGCGATATCGGGATCTGTGTAGTCCATGGATGGAAACGAACGGAACTTGAATCTGCGTGAAATGGAAATGTGCAATTCATAAGCATATTGTGTGCAAACTTTGGAGGAAAAAACAATAGATGCGTCTTGTGAAAGTCACAGAGAAATACGATTGATAAACATTATCTCATGGCATCCCTGTGGCATTTTGCACAGCTGAAATCTGTATGCGTTCCTCAATCAGTTAATCATTTCCCCGTGTCAGTGAGTCATTGACTGAATGTGACATTGCATGTTGCTATATCAGTCCTTACATCGGTCAACGACCAAGTAACAGAAAGTGTGATTTATCGAGGGGATGACACTGCGCATAGTCAAAATCTACGTTACTACGTATACACTTGATTGAGGTTTGCTAAAAAGTGGGTACAAATTAGTAAATGTAACTTCTCATGGGTGAAACACAACAGGCGATTGACTTGTATGGAAAAAATATGTTATAATATATTACATTTTACACTTGTCACAGTTCAGAAAATATGCCGTACAAATCACGACACAATCAGATTTATAACACAGGAAGCAGAGCAAGATTTGCTCGGGAGCGGAATACTGATTGGCTGCCCAGGCTAGAGCGGATAAATTTTCTTACGAGATTCGCAGCTGAAGCCTTCAGCATCCAAAACGCACATGATTCGATTCACTGCAAACCAGAGCACGGAATGCGGTTTTCTCGAGCTCCACTGCCTTACGCTCTGAATCTTTCAAGGTTGGTCCACTGATGATTGAATGAGACAAACTGAATAATACATCACTAATAATTCCGTAAAGAAAGTTTAAGCGACTCGTTGTACTGATATAGAACATGGTCTCGTGTAATTAGTTTCACAAGTGTGCCACTGCTTTGCTGCCCCGGGCTAACCTAGTAGATTAGAACAGTTGGTTCGGTGGGCCTAAAGCTGTGAATGAATGTTGGTCGTATCGAGCACTGATTAACACGGGCCATCGATCGATTGAAAAAATCAATAAAAATTGTGCGAACTGACCCGTTGCGCTAGTCACATGACATGAGGTAAATCTCTGGGCAGTACCCAAAGAACATGAGCGTGTGTGCTGCGGGTGTTTGACTATAGACGCTCACAACGTCATTTTTTTCAGTGGTGGATGACATGTTACCCGTGGGTGAGTTCATTTTCAATAGACGAAATAAATACACTAAACAGTTTCACCGAATTATTCCAATGTTTGAGCCGTGCCCTCTGATATTTCAACCAATCACCGCATTCGTTGTTAGAATACCAGGAAAACAATCCCAATTAGCAATCTGTATTAGTTCAATACAGCTCAGGTCTTGCTAAAAAGTGAAGTGCCTTTGCTCAGTTTGTTGTGCCCTGATTAACAATCCAAGAGGTTTCAACTGCTGTGCTACATGAATAGAGCTCTGTGGAGGAAACGGAAAGAAGTCTCAATCAAGGAAATTTGTGCAGACACGCAACGCAGCCAAATCCATTCAGAAATGTCCTTGTAGACGGATTGTACTGGGGAAACACGCCCGATGTCGTGTGAGATGATCGTGATCAATTTGAATTGAATTCATCTTCGACTGGATTTGTTTCTCGGTCATCATCTGATTATCTTGTAATCGTTTCAAGTTGTTCTCTGCCGTAACTAGTTGATCAGTGAGACGATCCACGGAATGTTCCAGATCGACAAGTTCATCCAGCATCCTGTAAGATCATAAGAAATGTACAGAAAAGTGGTTTTCAATCACAACAAAAATTAATGGATCATAATTTTTAAAGAGGGAGAAGAGGAGGTAACTAGCCCTCTCATTCACATACAACATTTTACGATAATCCTAGCACACATATTCATCAATGACGAGGGCCTTGTTGAACAAAAGAGACAGTGTCAGAATGTAGTTAAGGGGAAGACTAATTATTGCTAAGAATGCATAATCATTCGGGTAACAGCAAAGATAATGGAAAATCCAACACCACGGTGAAGCATAGTAAGTTGTTAATGAGATGAATCAAATTTAAAACTTTTTGATTCCCCTGACCAGTTCCGAAATACCCTAAAACCTTACTTTAAAAAAAGCTGTGATCTAAACTAACTACGGTTGTTCAAGACTCGTCCTAATTGGGTTGCAGAATAGAATGACATGATGATCCAACGTTAGCACCGGATTAGGATAACTAGAATTACTGTGTTTAACACACAGAGTAAGTATTTTCTATTACGTTCACATCCGGCCTGCTGGTCAGTAAATGAATGATTTCGACTTCGGAAATTGTCCTACCGTAAACTGTTTAAATGTCCGAAGACAATGTCTAATAAAGTAGAAAAGATTTCAGTGATAAACCTCGCCGGAAAAATGACATTATCTCGGAACGGTATGGCTATCACAAATGTATCTCGAGAGTTGTAACCAATCAGTCAACAAAATATCTGCTTCTCCAATACAACAGATTTTGCACCATTCACAGTGCCACGTTTGTGCGCTCAATGAAAAGCGCTCGGTATTTAATTCTCATTGAATCCATCATACAAACGAACTGTTGCTTTTGTAGCCATTGAATTAAATTTCCTGGGAAAATCAGGTCAATAGTTCAACTTTCTCCACCTGTTGTATTGCTCATGAATCATCAGACAAACGTCACTGNTCACTGAGATAAACTGAAAACCAAAAATTGAGACTTGAATTAATTAGCAAAATTAAAACTTGTCCTCCTTCGTTTGGAGCTTAGCAACGGTTTTAAATCGGTCAACCTCAGCTGCAATTCAAACTTAGTTATGCTTTTCCGAACTGATGGCAAACGAAAATTGAGACTAATCTGTTCAGAATAACCTCGGCCTTGGTTGTGTACAAACTGTTTCAGTTGAAACCAAATGAAACCACCGTTTTGCTCCGATGTGATCAGTTTTCTTCCAGCACATTGCCGTCTTACTGGGTGCATTCCCTGGATTATTATTATTATTGCATCTGATCACTTGCTCAAGTTAATGACTGAGACGCCAGATTTATACGTCTCTCCAATACATTGCCTTTTTTGTTCCATTTGTACAACTAACACTATAGTGTGTTTCATCTGGTTTGTGTATGGTGACCTTACAAAACGACCTTACAACGAGCCGCACACTTCAGAATCGATATTTGAAGGTCAGTTTTCAAGTTTGTCGGACTATATTTTTTTCGCCATTCATAGCTGGAATTTTCACGTAGACGAATTACAGCCACTATGTTTTTCGAATTTAATTATGATTGTTATTCAAGAATTATCGGTCTATTCACTTTAATATATTTATATTTTCACACACGTCTGAATCCAGACTGTGTGCCAAACAAATCATGATACCCTAATCTTTATGAAAAAGAAAGACGTTCCATGATTTGCATGCGGGTGGAATACAGCCAGGTTGCCCAAGCCAAGCAGGTGAATTTTCTTGAGGACTTCACAACCTGAGCCTTCGGCTAGCCAAAGCCTGACCCGCAAGGCACCGGAGTAGTGTGTGAAAACCGCAGTCAATTGGGGGCCGGTGTCCAGGTCGTCGGATTATTCGCCCTTTGGACGGGGTCAAACGTCCGAGTTGTCCAATACGCCACCATGCCCAATCGAGCCGGTGGCCACAACCGCCACAACCGAGAAGATGTGAGGTTCGTCAGCCTTCTCTTTGCGCCTCCAGTTACATTCCAGAATATTGAAAAGGAAATGTATGCCACTTAAAAGACGTGGATTTACCAGAATAAGCATTTCCTGGGGACAATAATCAGTTATTCTAAAGAATGAACTTTCGTGCAACAAATGTGCTACTGTTCGTCTACTCCTCTGCCTCGTACAACCTTAGACTGATTCTGTTTCATAATTTTTTTGGGTATTTTATTTGATGGGAATATAATCGATATTATTGCTAACCCGATTCGATTATCAATCCACCGGTTTCTTTATACATGTATATACATATATATATCACTAAAGTGGATTTTAAATGAGTTTATTAGCATTTGATGGAAATGGGTGTACCGGACCGCGCGTCCAGTGTTTGAGTGACACGCAGATAGGGAACCCAAGGCCAATTTCAGATCACGAGAATTCTGTATTCTACATTTTACATAAGAGTGAATAATGCACAGGCAAAAAACGTACTATGAAATGTGGGATCACCCGTTCCTAATTTTAAAAGACAGCAAGAAACGAAGGAGGACAGCAGTTGTTTAGATATGCAGATCACCAAGCACAGGATTTCAGTCACTAGGGGAGCAAAACTTTGGTCAAATCACAGGTTGGCTCAGTATACGGCCCAAAAAGAAAATCATGGGACGATGAAAGAAGTGGGTTACCAGTGAGTTCGGTAATGGTACAATCAAATTAGATGGCTAGGGAAATTACGAAACAGTACGATACCAGGGTTGTGTGTGGCATGGAGTCATCGGAAATCCGGGCTACATGGGGATGGGGAAAAATGTATAGCATAAGACAGACCAAAATATGAACGAATTGCGGTGATCCTAGCCTGCAAGATGGCGCATACCGTGGAGCGACACGTTACAGTTTTCGGACAACTTTGACCAATCAAGCTTACCGGGAGGTGTTAGCAAAGCGCGTGCGTGTCACAGCTTCGGGACTACATACCATAGGTCGATTGTACCAACCAATCAGGAACTGTGCGGCTCAAACACAAGCTAAACAACGCCAAAAATACTAGCACGCGATTGGCAGAGGCCTGAATGACCAATGAGCTTGTTTTGTACATAACAATTAACTCCTTTGATTTCTTTCAATAAACGAACTGCTATTCCTATGTCCTTTTCCTCGGGTCTCAGTAACGTGGGATACTGTCGTGCAAGTACCAGTGTGATCCTATGCTTTCGTGGCGTCCGTGATTTCCAATTCGTGATTCGTATTTCGTTGTTGGTATTTCGCAATCAGTGCGTACTACAATTATCACAACTAATTAATGTATATTCGGACAATATGAAAATTGATTAAGGTGCATGTCACGGGATGGACAAACAACAGTCACAGACGGCGTGGATCGTGCTGCTCCGGACAGTACATCAAAAGGGTTAATAGTGTAAAGCATCAGACCCAATCAATTGCTCAATTAGTCTGTGAAACGCTGGCACAATGGGGTGTTTGGTTATTGTACGCAAACAATGAACTTGTCCTATTTTACAAAGCGACTCGCTGGGTTCTTGTAATACTGCGGTCTATAGAATTCTCAGTGCCTTCAGTGAAAGTTCTATCAGTTCCATGCATTTTTGATAGAGAGGTAGATGCCTTTCATTTGACTGGGTAATCACGAATTCGAATTACCTAAAACTGCCGTCTGATGTAACTGATGAGGTCAACCGTATAGTGATCATCACAACATTCATAAGGTTGTACATCAAGCCGCATAGAGTGATTGTTGATATCACTAACACAAATGCTTCTGGCAAGTAATAATAGTGTTTTCTGTCTGTTACTCGGTAACTATTTTAGCGTATGCTAAACTCTCGTTTACTGTTTTTGATCACAAACAGCATTCAGTCCCAGAAACCGCTTAACCTGTGTTGAACGGCTTTGTATTTCAACGCACGTTATTGCCTGACTCAGCCACTTGGTTAAAGTACTTGATGAATTCCGCCAGTTCTGCGTTAGTTCGGCGTCTATCCATATTACCCAGTAGATCGCGAAGTAATGTATCCATGTCTTATAGTTTGTTGTCGATCCATCGACCAACGCCCGGCAGTCTTTGAGCTTGAGGGGCTGTTCCGCGCTGAGTTGTGCGGGCTGAATCAAGCAGCATGATGATGCGTCAGGAATGATATTCAGCCGGTCAGACATGCTTGCGCGAACTGCTAGTGCCCGTGACCTTGCATGTGCTTGTGTGCATAAGTGCTAGGTCCTATATCGCACGACCGCAATCAATCGATGTGATCGGTTGAAATCCGGTAATGCTTCACGTGTGGAGTCCCTTGTGCGTAGGTGTTGCGCTTCCTCCGCGTCACAAGTCATGATGATTATGTGGATATTGTTGTCAGATGCTATTTCATGACGGAAAACATGTTGGCTAGCAATGAAGCCTATTTTTGATTCTAATCATAGATTTATTAACGCACATTTCATCCGGATAGATATTATCATGGGTAGCTTTTCTCATCTTTGTCTTTTTGCCCACCTAGACATATATATCCTTGTTATCTACAATTTTCGATTCTAACATTTTCGCTTTCTTTTCATTCTGTCCTGTATCTTCTGTTATTATTATTATCATTATTGTGGCGTTGGCACTATGCTTGTCTGC